TCTTTCTTTCTTATTTTCTTGTTTAGGGTAGAGAACTTATTTCGTTCACCTTCTCATCCAGATAAGAGTAATATGGTTTTAAAGGGCTATGGTCACCTTCAATATACAAAGAACCCTTTATTTAAATTGCTAAACAAATGGTGAAGAGGGAAGTGGTTATTTTTGCCTCACTTAGGATTTCTACATCTTAATGGCCAAGCCTATATCTATTTATTGTAAATGTGTCAGAGGCTTCCATTTCTGTGTATATGAGTCATGTGCCTGATAAATATTTTGAGAAAGAAGTTCCCTCCTCCAACTTTGGCAGACTCCCAAGGTCAATTTCAGCTAAGAAAAGGATCGTAGAGATATTATTAGCTACATTATGCAACGTGTGTGTGCACCTGTAAATATACAGTACATAATGATTTTCTATCTAAAAGGTTTTTCTTGGTGAGAGAGTGCAGACTAAGAAAAATTAACGTTCATTAACGCACACCGTTGTTTGTTTGTTTGTTTGTTTTAAATGCCTTCTCTATTACATCTTTTTCAAAAACTACATGAAGCGTGCTACTGCAGTTCAAAGTGTGGGTTTGAAGTTAGATAGAAAGAGTTCTGAATCCTGGTACCATCCCTTATTATCTGGTTGACCTTGAAGTTCAGTGAGGTTCCATGATCATTCATTTTCCTTAGCTACCATGCGAACGTAGGCAATTCCATCTTACTTCCGTTGTGTGAGAATTGTGTGATCGCATACAAGGTTAAGATGTGCCTTAAAGTAAACAGGCATCCGATAATTGATTGTGGTGGTGGTTTTCAAAAATTATTTTTATTGTCCAGCCGGTGTGGCTCAGTGGTTAAGCGTCGACTTTTGAACCAGGAAGTCACAGTTCAGTTCAAGGTCAGGGCACAGGCCTGGGTTGCAGGCTCGATCCCCCCAGTGTGGGTTGTGCAGGAGGCAACCAATCAATGATTCTCTCTCATCGTAGATGTTTCTCTCTCTCTCCCCCTCTCCCTTCCTCTCTGACATCAATAAAAATATATGAAAAAACTTATTTTTATCAATCTGTTTCCCACCGTACATTTGGACCTTTCCCAGTGTATCGATCTTATGTATCGCGTGTCTGATTACTGTTTGACTCCAGCCTCTCTGGGTACAGGAGGCAGAGGCAGCCGCACTATTTTATTGTCAGGTGTGAATTATTCCCTTCATTTTTCACGAAGGTGAATATCAGGATGAAGGTCACTACTATCTCCTCTCTCTCCCCATTACCACTCTTCTCAGCCTGTCTCTCCCCTCCCCTTCTCCATTCTTTCATTTTTCTTCCTTTGCTACCACAGAAAGGCCAGCACCTGCACCTGTACACCCTGAGGAATGCCAGGGAGGACTGGAGGGTGGGGAGGGGCTGGAGGGGGGATCTCGTTGTGCAGAAAGTGAAAAATAAAATTCTAATTGAGAAATTGGCCAAGATTACATTGAAATGAATCTGATATTCAGGGACCGTCTGCCAGTTGACAAGCTGTCAGGACAAAACGCACATATATATTTGCCCAAATGGCAGCCGCATTATTTTAGAAATATCTTATTTGGGAGCTGGAGATACGGCTCTTTTCTATCCGCCTGTGAATCGCAGAAGTTGATGAGAATTCGCTTTTATAGCAAATACCGCATAGAGAGCAACCTGCGAGCGTGTCTGGTTTTTACTGTGGAAACCAAACTAGCGTTGTTGAAGTTGGTTTTTCGATGCAAATGTCCCTGTGTTTATGGATTTCCAGATACTTTACGTAGATATTTTTTCATGCTGTTGCATAGTGGGGCGAGGGGTGTTTAATCCCGATTTTATGTCGACACCTGGATTGGAGTGAAATCAGCTTTTTTAACATAGAATTCCAGGCTGTTTGGCTGCGCATTTGCCTTCTGCCTGCATAAGGGGCAGAAGCCAGGTAATCTTACTTTCTTTCTGTCGTGGCACAATAATCCCTACCTACAAACCCGCGTTTGGAAAAATTCAACGATTATTTTGAAAGCATTTGGCACAGCGTAGCGTTGGTCCCCAACAGATAGTAGTTTCTTTACAGCTGTCCACGTGTGAGTTCTATCAGCACGGTTTTAAAAATCGCCTATATGACACGAATGCTCCACAGCCTTAACTTTATGTTTCACAGATGTGCATATTGGAATGAACTCTGTTTTATTCAAAAGAGCATATTAGTGAAGGTTGAAATCAAGGGATGAGAAGGCCAAGTACAGTAGTCCCTCCTTATCTGCAGGGGATCGATACATTTCAAGACCCCCACTGGATGCCGAAAATAGTCCCTGTATATACTATTTTCCCTATATATATATGCATCTAGGATAAAGTTTAATTTATAAATTTGGCACAAAAAGAGATTAACCTCAATAACTTAACAATAAAATGGAATAATTATAACAAAATACTTTAATAAAAGATATGTAAATTTGGCTCTCTCTCTCAAAATAGCTGGAATGTTCTCTTTAATATTATCAGACCGAAGTTGACTGCAGGTAACTGGAGCCAGCTACCTTGCCCAGCCACACCTCGTGGCTTTTGGAATGAACAGTCCAGGCGGCAGGCAGATACTCAGGAACAGAGGCAGGAAACTACATAATGCTCTCTGCTCTTCTTGTCCTATCTATCAAGTCATTTCTTAATGTGTAACAGACCTATGGCAACAGCTTCCAATCAGTACTCAAAATAGGTTTATTGGGGGGAAAAGTCAAATTTAATTGGTAAACACTGAATTAAAGAAAGAAAAGTACTTTTTATACCTGTCCTTGAAGTATATATGTATCCTAATTTAGTAATAAATTAGGTTCCTGCACCCAGTTGTGGTTTGTGGGTGTGTGTACGTGGGAGGAGGTACTTCCCACACACCAAGCAATTCTTGGACACCATCAGGGTGTCCTACAATTCAGCTCAACTCTGACACTATCTTCAGGGAAGTAGCATCACTTGCCACAGGTGGAGGCGGTCCTACCCGACTGTGTGCCCACCCACCCCCACCCCAGAGGCCAATCCTAAGTCAAGGTTGTCACCTGTGCTTCTGACCAACAGGCTATAAATCAGAGGTCCCCT